AACGGAATGAGGAAAAGAGGGAGGGGCTTGCAGAAGACATGAAGCGAAGGTGCCAGGTGGTCAAAATCCTTAAAAAAATGAAGAAATCATCAGAAACTTCGGCCTTAGATTCGTTTCTGCAAACTTTTTCCTTCCTTCAACAAAGCCTCAGCCAAATCTCTCTAATTAAACCACTGCCACAAGCTATTCTTACCGTAGTCACCAAGTCAGACCACCAACAACAAACAACCTAGCTTCTCCCTGCTTCCCCTTCTCCCCCACTTGTAACATTCTCGGACAACATTTCTCACCCTCTCTCTTTGTATGATTGTTAATTTATTGCATCAGCCAGCGACGAGCTCTGTCATGTCTAGAACAAACGGGGCTGTCACTTCATTCCTCTCCCTCTTGATCCTCACCTCCCTGTTTTCCCCAAAGCTACTAGTGTTCGGATCACCCATTCGAGACCCTTCTTCCAAAAGACCCGATCCTCTTCGACATTTCAAAAATTACAATGGAAGCTTTACCATTACAAACGACCATTATTGGGCTGTAAGTCTCAAAATATTTTTTTAGTACATCTGATAATAATAACATCATAGGATAAATATGCATATGTATGTACTGAAATAGATGGGATTTGTGATTGATTTATTGTAAGTTTTTAATCAAGTTTCAGTCTACGGCATTTACAGGGGTTCCCGAATATGCAATGGCGGGAGTGTGGGTGTTATGCGGAGTGTGTTTCGGAATTTATTTGGCTTGTAATTGGAAGAGTTTTAGCGGCGGTTCTTCTTCCCCCACCAACCATTTTGATCGTCACTATTTCCTAACCTTAGCACTCATCCTCCTTTTCACCTTTCTTGCCATGTAAGTTCAAATCTTCTAAAATATTACTATCTACATTTAATTTTAATTTTTTTTTATAGAACTTTAATTGTTTTAATTTAACTTTTTAAGTATAAATTTTTGTTAAAGATTAAAAAAAATTAATTGTCATTTATATACACTATCAAAATTTTTATTTAAAATTTATGTTTAAAAGCAAAAAAAATCAAATTATTACAATTAAAGTTAATGAAGGGACTATATATTTGTTTTGTTGATAGAGCAAAAATTATTACTAAATTTTTGAAAGAGTATCTTGTTTAATTGTTTTGTAGTGAAGTACAATTTGAATTGTAAAATAAATTTTTTTATATACTAAAAATAATTAACTTTTTAATATTAATGTTTATTCATTTTATCGATTAGAAAAATTAAAAGAAAAATTATTATAAAATTATATTTTTTTAATAAAAATCTATAAAAAAAACACTTTAATGTATATTTTAAAAATAAAATATTTTAATTTTTTTAATGAAAATTTATTAAAATAATATAATTTTAAAATAATTTTTTAAAAAATTTTAAATAGGTACTACTCCCTTAACTTTTTCGTGTGAGGAAAAAAAAAAGTCTAAAATAAAGTCCAATAAGAGTTGGG